TGCAGGACTTAGGTATGTGGGAGAATTGATGGAGTCACAAACAAATTGCAAAGCCGCACTCAGTGACGGGATCCTAACCTGGAACCGTCTTGCGACAGATAATTGAAACATCTACATATCTACTTTGCTTGGTGATTTACATGATTAAGCTTATATTGTTTAACTATGAGGGGCATACGTGGTTCACAATGCATTCACTTTGGCGATCCTTGACGTGCTCCGCGGACAAGTATTCGGCTGCAGCGCGTGCTCAAATCCGGAAACGCTTGCATGCATGTGTTTCCTTGTGCAAATCTACCCGGAAGATGAGAATTCATTTAGATGTTTGCTTCTCATTTTCATATTGTACTCATCACTTCGAAATTCTTCTGGGTCTTTTTGACCTGAATTGATACTGTGAAATTCAGCGACATTTGTTTGTGATTTTACTTATGGAAGTTCGCAGTCAGCTTCTTTTTTCACATTTACAAAGATGCGGTCACATTATACATCGTTTAACTTCGTTCGTCGTACTGCTGTCGAATCACATCACAAATACACATCTGCCTGCTTTCAGGGAAAGATAGAGCCGCAAATTGGTACACGCGGTATCGTAACATGAATCGGATGAGGAATCGGGGAAAGGATCTAGAACCCACACTCAGTCCTTCATCTCCGCTTGCACCATCATCTTCTAGCATACCGAATCTCTCGCCTGTCATATCGCCGAACAGGGATAGGTGTGTCATTTATGTTTTGTTTTGACGTCAAAAATGTTGCCGCTCGCTTCTCTCAGTATACCAAGCTAAATGTTATTCAATGAAAACAACTCTTTATTTTGTTTGTCTCATCCATTAGCATTCTTTGAGGTCGATAAACCTCCATCTTTTTAGTCTGAATATGCGCTAAATTCTCTAAAGAGGTTTTTATCACAATCTTGTTTCAAGTCTGAGCTGAAATGAGGTAGCCTGTACTTCGAAGAACTTCTTCTAGTCTTGCTTTAGCTTACCCTGCAAGCTGATCTATGTACACCTGCCTTTCGACCAACATTCCCGATTGGAAGTAAGGTCGGGGCAAACTGCTCGCGACGCTATCTCCAAACTGCTGAAGAAGAGGAATATAACTCCGCAGTTATGCCATGTCAATGTGTCCGAAGATCCAAGGAGCGAGCAGATCGACTTGAATGTGCGTGAATGA